ATATATATATATATATATATATATATATATATATATATATATATATAATTACTGATATTATTAGACACTTGACGGATGAGATGTGCTGTGTCCACTGGAGCCAAGATCTGGTCACTTGTTGCTACTAGCATGTCAGTAGCTAGTAGAGCTGTCATTTCTAACCTGAGCCCTAAACCCCGCCCCACCCAACCCGAATTTGGGTCGGGGCGGGGCGGTGTCGGGCTTTTAATTGGGTCAGAATCAGCTGCGATCCAATTATATGAAAACATGACCTGCCATACATCAACCAGCTTCACGCGGCCATTTCTCCGTGAGCTGACCAGCCTTGAAAGGGATGAAAAGTTCATTTAAGCTTCAGATGAAACTGTACTGCCAGGAAGTGACCCATTGCCCAAATGGACGTTCATTCAGCCGCTGCACTCAGTGGACACGCGTGGCCGATGATCCAAACAGATGAGATCCCAAAGCAGACGTGTCAGAGCAGGGTCCATGTCTGAATAAATCAGAATGCAGGCAGAAGCAGGGGCTAAATGTTGTTTTACAGCCATGAAAGGACAAACACCCCTCAGCTCAGAATCTTCTGCCCCTTAGTTCAGCCACGCATCCCCGACCGTTAATATCTAATTAAAAATGTCTGAGGTTTCTTCCACGTTTGGACCTGTAATTACTGTGCTAATTCGTCAGGTCGGGTGGGTTTCAAAAATGATGACTGTAGGCTGCGGCCGGGTCGGATCTGATTTTTTGGGCCTGATTGCAACACTAGTAGCTAGTAGCAACAAGTGCTCATTGCAGCCATCGCCTTATGGGGTTGTATTTTTGTCAGTTTTGACATCGCTCATTGCACCAATGAAAGATGTTTTGTATTATTACTATTAAAAACAGTCAATAAATGAAGCAAAATTGTAGACAGTAGTGCGTATTACATTGTAAAAACTATGGGTGGAGGTGGGAGCATAGTGAAAACATGCCCTCCAGTCAGCCATCTTCCCTGTCCTCTCCAATCTGAACTTTTTTTTACATCTTTAAAACTCTTGTAAATGGAGCTGGCCTCCTTTATCTGTACTTATTAATCCTCTTGTGACATATTTTCTCTGGAGGTTACAAAATAGTCTCGAGGTATTCTGCTTTTCTGTGCCACTAGAAAGAGACAAGTAGCACACTCAGATTCTGGGGCAGATGTTCCTCTCAATGTATCCCTGCTACCAGCTTTCCCCCTTTTCTTTCCTGGTATAAAAATAATTAAAAAAATGTAATCAGAAAATGTCCCATGTAATTCACTTCCTACTCACCCTACTGGAGCTGCATGGTTTATGTTGGCAGCACCTCTGGTAATTGTTGGGTAATTACTTTTGAGATGGGCCAAGCATCAAGAGCTAAGTGCCTACTCCTAACAAGCTGAACCAAGTTGAAGGTTATAATTTATGGTCCACCTGGTCCTGACATGGATGGTGATGGAATAAACCCCCTCTGACAGACAGTGCACTGCACATTACTGCCTTGTGACAGCAGATGGCACTGTGACTACACGTGCATGCTCATCTGAACGTCTTAGTCGCTCAGAATAGATAGATTTTAAGGTGAAATGAAATATTTTGAAGCCAACATAAATTGAAATAAAGTCTTAAAAGGGGTTTATTTTCCATATCTTATATTTGGAAAATTTCACACTACCGTAATTTAAAAGAGTTAAAGGTAAAAAAAAAAAAAAACACTGATCTCTTCTGTATTTTTCGGTGAACACTGAAGTTTGATGTTGTCGGTACCACACTAAGGATTGTGAACAAAGTAGTGAATATCTAGTATAGCTAAAAAAGGTTGGTTCTCTGTTTCTTGTGAGAACCAACCCAAAACTACAGCACGTTTCATTCTACACCTATCCTAACATGTCCTTAGGCTCCAGAGTGTAAATTACAACCCAATGTCAAAGGACCTAATGTCAATTATATTCCTTTCTTCACCTATTTTCAACAACTGGCAAGATTGTCCCAAACTCAAAATGCCCTTTAGTCAGTGGAATGTTCACTTCCATAATAAGAGGCAAGAAAATCAGCAAAATGGAAAGAACTAAACAAATTTGTTAGTAAAATATACGAGTCAGCTCCTGCTCACATAAATTGGCGAACACTATTATGTTTCTAGCAACAATCTGCTACATTAATTTTTTTTAAATTCCTTTATTTTATCAGGAAGAAATCCATTGAGATCATCAATATCTTTTACAAGGATGTCATACATACATACATACATACGTACATACATACATACGTACATACGTACATACATACATACATACATACATACATACATACGTACATACATACATACATACATACATACATACGTACATACGTACGTACATACATACATACGTAC